TGTGTTTGTTTACGTGCGAGATGATTACCGAACGGCATGAATGGGTAGCGGGAAAAGGGGCTCTCTCTCTCTCTCTCTCTCTCTCTTTCTCTAAACTCTAAATAGACCGGGCGGCGTGTTTTGTTTTTCGACTTGTTTTCCGGGTGTTTTTTTTCTTCATCTTTTTTTCTTTTTTCTTATGCTCTTTTTGCTCTCGTAGAATTCTCGAGCGCCTCTTTTCGGGTACCTGTTGCGTTCCGGTTGCATTGTATCGGGGTTGTTTGTATGGAGAAATTGTAGGTTTTTCTTACAGCTTGTTACTGTGTAAACGTGGTTTTATTAGACGAGTAGGGTGAGAGGATTTTTTTGTACTTTTTAATGCTATTTGTTGCATTAAATTGCATTGTAAAAATGGAGTTTTTAAAATGGTTTGTTACCGTGTAAACGTAGTTTTGTTAGACAAATTTCTATACTCGGGGATTTTTGTACTTTTTCTGCTATTGTTGCGTTAAATTGCATTATAAAAATGGAACGTTTAAATTGGTGGGTTTTTAAAGTTTTTGTTACTGTGTAAACGTAGTTTTGTTCAATTACGACATTTTTAGTACTTTTTTAGCTACTTTTCGCTTTTTAAATTCGGTTTAATTGCAATTTGTTGCCAGTGTAAACGTAGTTTTATTCACTTTCAAAATTTTTAGTACTTTTTTTAGCTACTTTGTGCTTTTAAAATTCGATTTAATTGCGATTTGTTGCTGTGTAAGCTTAGTTTCATTTTTACTAAGCGATTTTGAGTGAAGAAATAAAAAAAAAACGCAGGAAAGAATAAACGAATAAACGAAACAGAAATTATAAGAATTTCGGAATCGAACCTTGCACGTCCCACGTTTACGAGTGGATATAAAATCGACAAAAAAAATCGATTTATATCGAGCGAATAAATCAAATTGAAGGATTTGTAGAATGCAGAAATACAGGGTGTCCCAATAAAAAGTAGCCCCTTTAATGAGCTTATAATTTTTAAACGGCTAATCATAAAAACATGCGGTTTTCTCAAATTTGTTTTATATTAGAAGTTTTGTTACAGTGATACAGAAATTATTCATTAACAATACAGGGTGTTTTATCAAAACCTCCTCTTTTAAATTCACAGTAACCAAATTAATTTAAATGGAACATCCCGTATATACAGAGGTATTTTAAAAGATACACTCTTCTACTTTTCGAAAATATATTATTTGTAGATGTTATTCTACAAAAGAAGATGTCCTATTTCATTAAATTTAGTTATTGTGAATTTAAATGGGGGGTTTGTACGAAACATCCTTTGCAGGTGATAAAAAAATTTTGTCTCACTGCAACAAAAAGTTATAGCAAAATAAAATATATCTGTCAAAACCGCATGTTTTTATGATTGGGCGTTTAAAAATTATAAGCTCATTAAAGGGGCTACTTTTTATTGGGACACCCTGTATATCCCGGTTGAATGTGCGTATAAGAGAGAAGTGAAAAAACCGATTACGACAATTACATGCATTACATGCTGTATACAGCACAATGTCGTATTACACAAATAGTCGAGTCGAAAGATTTATTACTTGCTATAAATAAATTCGCTTCGCGTGTTATTATTTTTATTAATATTGTTATTATTATTATTGGTGCGAATGTACGAGGGGAGTGTTGATAGTTCCACAATTTACCGCCTGTACGGGGGTAAGCAAACATGTAGGTGTGAAGGATATATAGGGTGTTAATTAATTGATTAATTGATATTTCAGGATGTGAATATTTGGATGATTTTAAGAAGAAAGGTTTATATCAATGTATGTCCTAAACCTCTTAGTTTTCGAGCTACAGGGTGTTGAAATTTTAGATAAAAAAATAACTTTTCTATCATAATTTTCTTATTACTCCAGTTATTTTTAAGAAATTTTGTATACACTTTTTAATGATTAAGGAGCATTTTTTGAGGCATAAGATTTTTTTAAATATTCACCAGTGACGTCCGTACGGGGTTTGAACTGAATATGTTTGAAAAAAAATGGTACACCTCTGGTTTTTCTAAAAACTAAAATTATTTTTAAAATCCTCTTTTATTCTGTAGCAAATTCGGTCAGAAGACTTATTTTCGTAGGACGCACCATTTTCGCGTAAAAAAATAAAAACCAAAACCATTTTTTCCCCAAGTTCATTTTGAGATTGCTTTATCGGCATTCAATTAATTAACACCCTGTACAATAAACTTTATATGCGTCTTAGTGTGCCGTGAAAAAAATAAATAATAATAATAATAAATTTCGTATAATAAAATATATACCTATAATAGATTAAATTACCTAATAAAGTAGACCGATCGATTGTTATCCGATCGATTTGCAATTAATTAAGTCAGGGATTTTATCGGTTTTCCTGATGCGCATAAATCACACCATAACGATATTTTATTGTTATTGGCGCTTACGCAACCTACAAAGAAGTTAATTTCGCATGCAAATCGATTACGCCTTGGAATTTGTGCTCATGGACTTTTCATGTTACACTGTATACGGATTTATTATTTTTTTTATTTCTTCGAACCGTTAAATCACCATGGAATGTTTTCCCTCCGAATTTCAAACGTCAAAACTGTCACACGTCAAAACTGTCAAATGTCAACACTGTCAAACGTCAAAACTTTCAAATGTCAAAACTGCCAAACGTTAAAAACTTGTCACTTGTCAATTGCGATTGTGCCAATTAGCAATAGCAGTTGAGGCCTCGAATGAATTAGAAGAAGAAGGCTAATGAAATTATTTATTTACTGTTTTTTTATGACAAATAATTAACCCTTATAAATCATTTCTTATCAGTTCCATTGAAATCTAATTTAGCCCTATAAATTAGCCCTTATAAATAAATGGATTGGCTATAAGTAAACCAAACAGTAGGCCGTGAGTTTCGGTAATCAAAGAGTGCTTATGAAGGGTTGTTTTCTTCGACAAAAATTTGGGTATAAAGTATAAATCTAGCAATCGTTATTTAAACGAATAAAGGGCCATTTTTAATATTAATTTTCAGTAAACAAATTAGGAAAAAAAAGCGATTTTATAAATGACCGTATATAAACGATTAAAGAGGGGGATGAAATAAAATTAGAGGGTTAAGGGTTGGGGGGTGTATTTGGATAGTTTGCGTGCCAGCACGCTCCGGAATCATTACTATTAAATATTCAAAATCTAAATGCTCGATGTGACAAATCATATTTAACGATTGGGATATATCATTTCGTATTATATTATCGACTATACAGGGTGTTCCTAAACATCGTGTACATCCAAATGGGGGTTTTTCCTTGGCTTATTTTATGATTAAAAGTTCATATAAACGTGGGTCTGCAAATGCTTCGTTATCGATCTACAGGGTGTTGAAATTTCAATTTTTTTTTGTTTTTTTTTTGTAGCTCCTGCATTTTATGAGATATTTAGCTCAAATTTTGAATCTAGATTGCTTTATAGGGCACACATTATTGGGTATATCAGATGGTTGTTGAATTCTACAGGGTGATATTTTTTTAGGGGTCATGTACCCTTTTTTCCCCTCGAACTTTTTTGCTGTGCGCCGCTGGTAGATTTTAAAATACAAAATTAATTGTCTGTTTTGTTTAGAAACTTTTTGTATTTTTAAACTTTTTTCGTTTCTGTGACCGTTATCGAGAAAAAAATTAAAAAAGATTTTCTGTACCAATGATTTATTTTACCAAACAAAAACCCTAAATAATAACTATTAAATTACATTAAATTAAATGTTGAAAGTGACCCCCTATTACTCAAGCTATACTGTATACCCTATATCCTATGCCTAATTTGAGCTAAATATCTCAAAAACTGCAGAATCTCTAAAAAAGAAACAAAAAAAATCTTGAAATTTGATCACCCTGTATACTATATACACAATGTACCTACTAGATTTTAATAGTAATTTTTATTTACATGCACGTTCCGAATCGTCCGGCCAAATCGCCCTATTTACGGTTATTAGTTATTACCGTTTACGTGCCGGAAATTCCTAAATTAATTTCCAGTTATGTTAGAAAAACAAACAATTAAGTAAAAAAACTTTCCGATGGATTATAGGAAAATAAACGAAAATTCCCCGTAAATCCAACCGTTGGTGAGTAAAAGGCAACGCCGCAAAAACGAGCAATTCCCTAAATCTAGTACGGATTCGCGTAGACGTGGCAACGGTGTAAAAATCGCCAAAATGGCGGTCGTAGGTAAACGTCAAAAATGTCAAAATGGCGTATAATTCCCTAACCATTCAGTTTTGCTTCAGTAAAAGATATCACCGGAAAAACCAGTAATTCCCTGTGTCAAAGTAAGTGTCAAAATGGCGGTCAAAATGGCGTATAATTTCCTAACCATTCAGTTTTGCTCAAATAAAAGACAACGCCGCAAATAGGAGTATATAATTCCCTAAATCCAGTACAGATTAGCGCAGACAAGGCAACGGTGTAAAAATCGTCAAAATGGCCGTCGCAGGTAAACGTCACAAAAGCGTCAAAATGGCGACAGAATTCGACGGCAAAACTAATCCCCCTAAATCGAGTACGTTCGCGCCGAACCGGCAACGCCGCCGGAGCCGCCTAAATAAAAAAAAGCGCAATTGCATATTCTCCTAAACCAGGGCCTCCTCCGAATCGCTAAACACAGTCGGTCACTTTCATTCAAGGTCGCTAATGTTTGGTTTATTTTTACCCTTTTGCCGAAACAAACGAAGCGCGCCAACCGATAAGGTCTCGTTTTAGACGGACGTTGCCGCTTCTACGCCCATTTCCGACGTTCTACCGAAAAATACATGTCACTTGTCATTTGTCGATTCTGTTTGGATTACACGTCACTTGTCATTTGTCGCTTATACTTCACTTGTCAGGGGTTTTTCGGATGCCGGGTAACGCCAACTTGGATATTTTTAAAGCTTTTAATGAACGTTTGTAACGAAATTATCGTGTTTATTCGGCTATATTCGATTATGTACTTTTCGACATGACTAATGAAACCGAACGTCCGGTCAAAATATCCGCCTGGAAAACAGAGGAAAAAATCCGGGAGGTAAACAACAACGCCATAAGAATTTAAAATCTGGCACTCCTTTTTTTTCCGGCGATGAATTACTAAAGCGCCATCTGGCGGTTCGAAAAAAACTGGAAACACCGAATTCCAATCTATTGATATACACGAAGGCTTGATTGCTAATCGGTATCGATTGATTCTCGATATTTTTTTAATTCCGATGAATTTGATTCTTTTTATAACGAAATAGAGGAGGTTTTCGTCCGCCATTTTGCCGCGCGATTCCTGTCATTCGAAAGCGACAAAATGGCGGTGATTGGTAAGCCTCATGAGTGTCAAAATGGCGTTAAATGTCAAACAAATCGTCAAAATGGCGGTGAATGGTGTGAAAAATGTTTACATTTTGGGTGCATTTCACGAGATCTGTCGATGTTATTTCGGTTTTATAACACATGTGTATCGACGTGTATTTTAAAAACATGTTTCAACCTAAATGGTGACCTCGCTGATAACGATGTCTGTGTTTACACTAATAGATTTCGTTCGGAATATTTTCGTGCGAATTTCGATATTAAATTTGTTCTGTATTTATTTTCGTTTCGGGTTTCGGGCGCGGGTTTTCCAGAAAATCCCCAGAAATGAATTTCCAATATCTACTCATTTTTTTATTGTACATACATTATAAAGTAATGGTCGATGAGTGGATCTTAGTAGGCGAATGTAGTAGGCGCCATATTGGTTTAAAAGCCGCCATTTTTTCGCGAAAGAAACCCCGCCATTTTGACAGATAACCCGTTAACGAACCGCCAAAAAAACAACTGTCAAATGTCAATATCAATCGCCGATAAACCGGTTGATAAAAAAATTATAACCGTAATATTTTGTTTGTGGAGATTCGGCAACGTCGCTTGTAGATTCACGGCCGACCGCGACCTAAGTCAACGAGAAATTTCGCGATTCGCGAAGATGCTAATTCGTCGAACCGGTCGAAATTCGCACGGTCGAGCGCGCCATTTTTTTTTTTATTATTATTATTTAGGTTCAACAATGTCTAGAGATGGGACAAGGTCAAGAGCGCCAGTCGATCGAAAAAAATTATAAAAAAATCAAACGAAACGAGATAATAATAATCCCCTTTTTTCGGATCGTTGTTGCTCTAAATGGGTCTCGTCCTGTATATATTACTTTACAGGATATTTCGAATATCTAAGTTCGGTGGTACGAAAATTATCGAACGACCCCCGTAGAAAAAAGTGGAATTATTTCGGTTCGTGTTGTGGACGTTTTATTATCACCCTAATCGTTATTATATTATACTAATTATAATTATTATTATTATTATCTATTCGTTTGATAATTTCTAATTACTAAATTAGCTGTAACAAGGGGTAATTTACAATTTACAGCCCTCTGCGATAAAACGGGAATTATTGTAATTAATCGTGACGAAGTTTGCGCTAATGAAAATTCACGTTATATAATATAACGGTTTTTAACATAGAATTTCTACAGGGTGGTGGAGAAAAAATTGTTTTTTGAATAGTTTTTATTAACAGTTTCTCGCTATTAATTGGAGTTGAATAGTTTTTAATCTATTTTTGGCGGTTTTAAGGGGTTGTAAGGGGTTTTTAACGGTTTTTACTAATGACTTTTAACTGTTTTTTCAGCTTCTAATAGTATTATAACAGCTTTGAACAGTTTATAAGCTATTTTTGGCGGTTTTGGCAGCTTCAAATGACTTTTTTGGTGGTTTTTAATGGCTTTGAAATGTTTTTTTTGGGCTAGTTTTCGAAACTTTTTAACAGGTTCTTTGACGTTATTTAACTGTTTTTTTAAGGTATTAACAGCTTATAAGCAAATTTTTTACAGTTTCAACTGTTTTATGACAATTATCAAGAGTCTGTAACGGATTTTTGTCGTATTTCAACTATCTTTAACAGCTTCGAATGGCGTTTTGACGGTTTTTTGACAAGCTTCGGTTTTTTTAGGCTATTTTTAAGACCTTTTAACAATTTTTTGACGTTTTTCAACTGATTTTAACAGCTTCTATTGTTTCTTGACTTTTTTTTTTGTAGCTACTAACAGTTTTTTGACAATCGTTAAGAGCTTTTAACAGGTTTTTGACTTTTTTCTGTCTTTGGCAGCTTCTATTTTTTATTATAAGTTTCTTTTACAACTTCTAGTTGTTTTTAGTCAATTTTTAAGAGCTTTTAACAGCTCCTTTGACGTATTTCAATTGGCTTTAACAGCTTTGAATGGGTTTTTCTCAAGCTTCGGTTTTTTCGGCTATTTTTATGACTTTTTAACGATTTTTTTGACGTTTTTCAACTGACTTTAACAGCTTCTATTGTTTCTTGACGTTTTAACGGCTCTTTTGACGTATTTCAACTGTCTTTAACAGCTTTTAACGAGCTTTTGACGCTTTATAAAATCTCCTAAGCTATTTTTTGACAGCTGTCAACGGTTATTCGACGTTTCCGACAGCGACTTTGTTCCTCGGCCGCCTCCGATAAGCGACGCGATAACGAAAATAATACGAAAAAAAAAACACAACAATATAATAAAAAAAAAAAAATCGACAATAAACCGTTCGACCTTCGAACGATCGCCCAGACGACGACGTGACGTCACGTCGTCGAGCGCGCTCGTTCGCGTTACTTACCTAAGTTACTAAAACTACCGTTGACCTTGCTTGCGCATTTTTTTTACTGCCAAAATAATGTACATACATACATACATACATACAATACATGAATGTATACAATACGTAGGCGACTTTGATATGCGTGTTATTACGAATGCACGGCACACTCGATATATTCGTTTCGCTATTGCGCGCTTTTTATTATATTAGTATAGGTGTACTTAAATATTGTTATTATTAATATTTTTTTTTAATTCGTTTCGATCACGATCGCTCGATTAATACGTAAATTTATCGAGATTATATTGAACCGGCCTACTAGACTTTCGGACTTGCATCTGTATTTTGTTTCGGACGCCATTTTTTCACGTTTGACATTTGACGAATGACATTTCGGCCTATGATAGACTGTTCGGCATAATTAAAACTGCATTTGGCAACTGACATTTGACGTTTCAAAATCGATTCGTGATAACTGACGTTTGACAACTGTCCTTTTTTTCAATCGTCGTGTGACAATTGACGTTTGACAGCTGTCCTTTTTGCAATCGACGTGTGACAACTGATATGTTTGATAACTGTTCTTTTTGCAATCAACGTGAGACAATTGAAATTTGACAACTGTCCTTTTTTGCAATCGACGTGTGACAACTGACGATTGACAGCTGTCCTTTTTGCAATCAACGTGTGAAAATTGACGTTTGACAACTGATATGTTTGACAACTGTTCGTTTCGCAATCAACGTGAGACAACTGATATTTGACAATTGACGTTTGACAGCGGTCATTTTTGCAATCAACGTGTGAAAATTGACGTTTGACAACTGACTAATTTCCTCGGTTTTTTTCAATGCTTTTTCGAAATCGAATAGAATATTATTTTATTATTATTTTGTTGTCCCTCTCTCTCTCGCTCTCTCTCTCTCTCTCTCTCTGTCACACACATATGCATAAAGCGTATTAACTTGCAACCGTTTGATCTTCGACCAAGGCAAATATTTGATTTCGGCAAGGTCGTTATCATTAAAAAGCTGGAAAAGTACGCCGATTGAATTTTATATGCATTACGTTTCGCTCGTACATTTATGTAAATTGGAACGGTCCAGGACCGTACTGGGAGCCCTAACAGAAAAAACAAAACAACCCGCGGAAATTACCGAAAGTACGATCGTGAGCTGTCAAATTTGACGTGTACGAAAATTTTATTTATACATTTATTAGTCTGGGGAAAAACCCAAAAATTAATAAAATTTCTGATGAGTTTGTCGATGTAATTTTTGGAAAACGTTAGAGAATTTTTTTTGACGGGTAAAAACCGAAAGAACTTCTGGGCAATTAAAACGAATCAATTGCGATCTTTAGAATGTAATTAACGATAATTAATGCCGACGTCGAATTTAGACGATTATTATGATTATCGGGTCGAGTTGGCGGTCGACCTTCGGTTCCGTTTTCGAGCGACGTTGCCACATCTACTTTCTGCTATTTCCCATTCAAAAAAATTTCCTCTTCGGTGAATAATCTATACGCTAGATCTATTGATTTATTTATTGACAATTTGGTTGTTCTCGACTGTTATTTTTAAAAAAATCTACATAAAATTATAATATGTGAGAATATTTTTTTTATTTTGATAAAAATATTGATTCAAATAACTGAAATGACAGTACTAAATGAATCTGGGACAGTTCCAAATCAATCTGGACAGTTGAAAATCAATCTAGACTGTTCTAAACTATTGTAGACTTTTCTAAATCAATCTGGGACAGTTCCTAATCAATCTAAATTATCAATAAATCTAAATTATTCTGGACTTTTTTAAATCAATCTGGACAGTTACAAATCAATCCGGACTGTTCTAAACTATTGTAGACTTTTCTAAATCAATCTGGGATAGTTCCAAATCAATCTGGACAGTTCTAAATTATTCTGGACTTTTCTAAATCAATCTGGGATAGTTCCAAATCTATCTGGACTGTTCTAAATTATTGTGGACTTTTCTAAATCAATCTGGACAGTTTAAAATCATTCTGGAAAGTTTTAAAAGGTTCTGGACAATCCTGAGACAATCTAAATGATTTTGGAAAGTTATAATATTGTGGAATTGCAACTTTTACGCCGTTGCACAATTGCCAATTACACTCTGCGAATTGTATTTTAAGCGGATTCGCGGAAAAACCGGCACAACCGGCAACGCCGCGTTTTTTTTTTTTCCTCTTCGTCCGCCGGCATGGGACCCGCATACTTACAGTGACGTAACGACAGCATAATTAACGACCGGATCGCCTTGCTATAAGGCTAATTTAGAAACACCTTGGACGAAAAAAAAAAATTTCCTAACCCATCGCCGATTCGATTCCGAATTCCTTCGAGCCTAAAAAAATATAATCGATTC